AGGGAGGGAGGGCGGAGAAGGCAGCAGAGTGAGGCTCACCCCATCATGCACGAGCGCCTTCCAGGTGTGCTCCAGCTTCTTGATGAACCTGCAGGGAGAAGGACACCCGCGCGTCGGCCAAGCCGGGTGGCTGCACGGGGGACACGGTCTGCCCACACACCTGTGGCTGCCCAAGCTTAGGGTCTGGGATGTCCCTGGCACGGAGGGGAGAGGCCAGGGACACCTACCCAGAGAGCCACCATCAGATGTCCACGGGGCCGGGGGAGCAACCTCGGCTTTGAATGTCCCAGGGCCTCAAAGTGAGACCTTCTAGAACCTGCTCCTTGGGCTCAAGGGGACCTCTTGAGCCCAGAGGAGCCTTCCGGGAGGTGGGAGAAGCCTGGGAGCTGCAGCTGTGTCCACGGTCAAGCGCATTGGGGTTCGGGCGTCCTGGGGGCGCCGGGCACCCACCCTGAGGACCGTGGCCTGGGCGCCCTCCGTAGGCCCCGCCACCTCCCGCAGCCTGACCTCCCCGAAGGCCCAGCCCTCATGGCCCCACCTGTAGGACTGCAGGATGTCGATGATGCCGATGTGCAGTAGCAGGCGCTCCCCGCGGCCATTCACGGCAGGGATGCCGCCCATCCTGGGGGGAGACGATGGGTCACCTGGAGGCGCGGGGCCTGGGGGGGTGGGAAGGGCTTGGGGGCCCGAGTCCACCTGCACCCGAGGGGCCTGGCACCCAGGGCCTCCCTCCCAATGTCCCTCGGTCACTTTCCAGACTCACAGCTGGAGGCCAGATGTGAGACCTGGGCCCACATGTGTGCAAACATCCGCACACGTGTGCACACAATCCACTCATGCACATTATGAACATACACGCACATATGCACACACGGACACATATGTACCCACCCCCACACGCCTATCCTATGCACATACGCTCACACATACACACACACACACGCACGCATGTGCATTCACACGGACATACACTCACATGCACATGTGCACACACATGCACAATGCACACACACACACACACACGAACGCATGCATTCACACACATATGTGCACACTGCATTTCCAGGCAGGCCCCAGAACTTGGCGCAGTTGTAGAATTAATTGCATCACTTGACCGGGTACCCATGCGTCCCCACCCAGTGCGGTTAGTGAGGGCACAGGGTGCAGCAGCTGCCCTGAAGCCACCAGACCCCAGATTCACGGGGCTGGGCCAGCACGCATCATGCCATGCTCTGCCATGCTCACCTGCACCCTGCCAGGCCCTGTGGAGACCCTACAAATGCCAAGATGGTCTAAGGGAGCTGTACCGGGCTCCGCACATGCCACCCTGGCATGCCCTGGTGGACCTTGAGCACGACCCCCCATCCCTGGCCACAGTGGCCTGGAGGAGCCAGCCCTGGCTCCTGGGATGGACGGGCCAACCTCAGCCTCACGCCCAGCCCTGTGTGCCTGGGATGACTGTGCATCTGGGCGTTTCCTGAGCTGTCTGGGGCTGCCATCTTTCCCTGGGGCCCCGTGAGGACTGACCAACATAACACATGTGGAGGCTCTGGCCAGTGCCTGGCTAGGGCCGCCGTGACCCAGGGACAACCTTGACACTGCTGTCAACCCCTCCTGGGCCACGTGGGTGTCACACCTGGGAGTGCACCTGGCATGGGGGAGGGCCAGGGGTGCTGACGTTCTGCAGTGTCCAGGACGCCCACCCAGAGAACGACCCAGCCCGAAGTCCACAGGGCAAGGGAGACTCTGTGACCAAGCCCCGAGGACCTGAGGGCGGACCCAGGCCCAGCCCCTCCCTCTCACATCCTGCAGAGGCCGGGGCCACGTCTTGGTGTCCCCCGTCCCCCATCTATCCTCTGTGGCTGCCACCCTCCACCTGCAAGAAGCAGACTCCTCGATCCCCTGCCCCAAAAGGTCCATCTGACCCCAACCACCACCATCACCGCCTTCCTGGGCCGGGCTCTCGCCTGGCACTCGCACCACGTAGTGCAGAGTGGCAGGAAGGTGGCTGACTGGGCTTCAGGGGCTCCGTCCCGTCCCGGGGAAGTCCAGAAGGCCACCCTGGCACACCCATCCATCCTTGTGACTGGTCGGGGCCGCCTGCCACCCCGCCGCCCAGGCTGGGCCGCCCGTCCACCTACGTGTCATCCGACTCGATGGCCTCCCCACGTGCGGCGCCACCCTGGATGGACTCCATGGCCGTGGAGTAGAGCGCCTTCTGGCCCACGGGTCGCCTCTCGCCCGCTGTGCCCTGTGCGCCCTGCGCCTGCCGCTCACGCTCATGCAGATCGATGTTGTGCACGCCCAGCAGCAGGCTGTAGTCCATGATCTTGAAGCTCTCCAGCACCTGCGGGGGCGGCATCAGCAGGGGGGGGCGAGGGCCAGCCCGGGGCCCCACTGAGGTCCTGCACTCGGGCCCGAGCGGCATGGTCTCACGGCCACACAGGGCTCTGCGATCCCGAGGGACAGGGCCTGCAGGCGCAGCTGCGTCAGAACCAGCGTCAGGTCCTGACGTGGGCTCTAGCCTGATGCCAGGCTGCCTGGCTTTGGTCCTTCCCAAGAGAGGGGACCCCTCAGGGCTGAGGGGGCACATTTGGGGCCTGAGAGATGGGGCCAGGCATGGACACACGGCATCCAGGGCAGCTGTGAGTGATCTGGGTGAATCTGGGGTGTCTGGGTCAGGCCCTCAAAGGGGTCTGGGAACTGGCAGTGGTCGGTGGAGGGGAGGGTGGGGTGGGGACCAGGCTGTCCAGGCCCTGCTCCTGCAGGGGAGCTCCCTCGTCCCTACCCTTCCAGCTACTGGGTGGCGGGCAGGACTGACCCCAGGACAGGGCTGGGAAGAGCCAGAATTGTTCCTTAACACAGGCCAGCACAGGCTCCATGGGGACACGAGTCAGACCCAGCAGGAATGGGCACTGGCTCTCGCCACACCCTGCAGGGCAGGCGCAGTCATCGGCTGGACGGAGGAGAAAACAGGCACCCAGCTGGGGGGTGCACTAGGCCCATGGCATCCCAAAGCTGGGCTCTTTCCTAGGGGGCACCGGCGTCCCGAGAGGAGGGACGTCTGCAAGAACAGGCCCGGGCGGTGCTGATGTCCCTGCCCCCCGTCTGAGCCGCATCCCCCTCCCCCACCCGAGCGGCGTGCCACACCCACCAGGCAGTCACGCTGCAGCGTCTTGACCAGGGCGCTGAAGGTGTCGGCGTCCAGCAGCAGCCCCTCAGGCATGTCCTGCATGAAGTCCAGGTCCTTGTAGGTGGGGATGCTCTTCTCCTTCTCCTTCTTGCTGGCGCGCCGCTTGTACGTGGAGCCCTTGAGGTCAAACTTGAGGTGCATCTTGACCACGCGCGGCAGCACATTGTTCATGACCACCACGCGGATGTTCTTGCCGCCCGACTGCACACAGTACAGCCCGTAGAATTTGGGTAGCAGCGTGCGCGGGTTCTGGTTCAGGTTCTGCGGGAGGCATGGGGTCAGCAGACGGTGTGGCTCGCCCAGGTCCCAATCAAGGCCCCCACAGCACCTCGACCGCTCGGCTCTGTGGCCGTCCACCTGCCTGTGAGCCCCAGGGGATCTGCGTCCACGGGGCCAGGCCCAGGGGCGGCTCCATCTCCCTGAGGCTGCCACACATCTCCTGGTGCATGTAGCATCCCCTGGTGGGGCCGCCACGCAGTACACGGGCAGGACCGCCCCTGGAGGACATGAGACCAAGGCCTGTCCTGTCCTGAAACACGGCCCGTGCTAGACACGCCCCTGTATTCAGCTGTCACCACTCACACAACAGCACCTACTCCCAGAGGCAGGGACGGCTGCAGGTCCCTACTCTGCTGAGATGCACACGGGTGCCATGGACCCAGGGTTGCTCATGGGCACTGGAGACCCAGGGACGCTCGTGGACACCGGGGACAGTGCCGCTCAACAAGGTATGCGCCCCCACCCAGAGTCACCGGGAGAAGAACCCTGGGGACCTCCAGGGACAGTGGTGAGACCCACAGAGCTCAGGGTGGGCGTGGGCTCAGCCATCAGCAGGCCAGACCGGCCAGCCCTGTCCTTGCATGGCTGAGAGCTGAGAGCAGCTTCTCTGTTTTTCTTTATTTTTTGTTGAGGAAGCAGGTTTATTGAAAGGGCAGAAAAGCTCCCAGTGGGCGGGAGGGACCCAAGAGGGTTGCCTGCTTTTCCATTTTTAAACGGTTGAAGAAACATTGTGAGAGAAATGGTGTTTTGTGACATGTGAAAATGGTGCCGAATTCACATCTTGGCACCCATAAATAGCGTCCCAGGCCCCAGATGCCGCTCACGGGCCCTGATGAGCCCTCTGGCCCCTTATAGAACAATCTTGCCAACCCATCCGGGGAGCTGGGCCCACACTGTGGAGGGAGGATGCCTCGGGGGGAAACCGGTCCTGGGCCATGCAGGGGGCCCCTCCACTGGGGCGGGTGGGGACCCCGCAGTCAGCGGCTCTTGCCTTGCCCTCCCCGCCCGGCATGCCCTTCCATGAGTCACACGGGATGACACCTCCCCAGCAGGGGTCTGTGTGGCACCAGCCGGTGGCTGTCCCCTCCTGCCTGCCACTCCCTGAGTCACCCTCGGGCCGCAGGGCCTCGATGGCTGCTGAGAGAGACACTGCCCACGGGCCACGATGTCAGGGCCTGCAACTCGGGGGCTG